CGATATTGTACAGTTATTTGTACAGTAGAAAACCTGTTTGCCGTACAGGTCGGCGCGCGCACGCAAAACATACTCTCCTTCCTTCACTTCATCTCATTTGGAGCGAAAATATGCTAGGATATTTGTCTGCGGATATTATCCGTTCTGATAAGCAAACAGTTTTCCAAGAGCGCAGCTTGAGGAAAACTGTGAGCTCCGAGGAACAGGTAATGTCCACGGACAAATGCCCGAGCATATTTTCGCGCCAAATGGAGGCTTTTGTGTTTATTATCCTTCAAATCTTTTTCGCAACACGCGCAGTTTTGAAAATTGGGGAATATTCGGTCACGTGACGTGTTTAGACCATTCGCACGCGAGCGAAAATATTTGATGGACTATAATGGCCAATATTTCCCCAATACAGGCCTCGTGACAATTCAACATCTTCATATTTGCCGAGAATTGCTTGTTGGCAGGAGCCATAATAGGAGACGGAGACCATAAACGCGCACCATTTCTAGTATGGGGGCTTTCCCTATGATATGGGACAATTTTTTTAACACGCGTACATACTGCGAGGATTTTTGCGGATGTAGCGCGGGGGAAATGGCGTCCGAAATTCCCAAAACTTTTTATGCTTTTGGCCCACAACTCAATCCGTTTATGTCTGTTGGAATTTTGGTTAATTAGTTTCATCGTTAGCTGCTCCAGTTTGAGTGAAGTAAGACAGTGTCGAATTTAGGTATGTCCCGCTTTATATCGCTGACCAGGTTGTGTTCCGATGCTTCCTCTACTAGAGCTTCACATTAGTTCACTCTAAATTTCACATATGTTGAAGATTAACAGCTTTTCCATAACATAGCAAAAAACTAGTTGGATATATTTGGATACAGTATAGCAGCTTTTCAGGACTTTAAAGTTTCCCTCCTCCTGCCACACGCTTACGAGGATTTCGCCAAAGTCTAACGCGACCGAAAAGTATAGTAAAAAAGAATAATTGGAAGTTTTGAGTTTCGCCTGAGTTGTAAGCTAAGCTTGATGTTTCTTCAAGGCACAATAATTTTATGTCATTCTGTAGATACTGCTCAGTTTTGTTTGTGTAAAACTCCACTGAATAAATTGCCTGTTGTCGATGAGTAAGAGCGCCCGCCCATGCGTGTTTTGTACAGTCAGTAAACATAACGAATTGGACTTCCACAATTTCGCGTGAAAACGTATATTGAACTCACACAATATCTCTGGTTTTTAAATATGTTTAAGGTTGATAAACGTTTGAGAACATATTAAAAGCTTAGCTGAAAATATGTGAATAAAGCAGAAATAATCAGCAAAGTTACGATGGCCCTTTCTTTAATCAACTCGAATAACGATTTCGATTTTGTTGGTTGAGCTATCAAAACTCCTTGTCTATTTTATTTTCGCAGTGTAAAATTTCACTATGTTGAAGAAACATACGTGATGTTAGTAGCCTTTTGGCGTTGGTAAAGACTGTTTCAGCATCTCAGCACAAAAGATGACGAAAGAAATCTTTGAAAAATTCAAAACACCGACTCGGACTTGAAAGTGCACGCGCTGCCACAAAAATGAGCTACTTGTACGAGTCAGACTTTCCTTTTAAAGACTTTTGCAAACTCATCAAACAGGCAGAAACAATAAGAAACTATCAAAAACAGGTTTCGGTTATGATTAAGCATTGTTTGAGAAATTCACAAATTAACTCGATACCAGAGTAGAGAGTTTTAGGTATCTAGAGTAGAGGTAACTTTTCGTTACAGAACAAACTCAAAAGCTTACGCGTACAACTTAGAGCGAGCAGATATTATTCATTCACAGTGCTAAATTGAGTCTTGTGTTTGACCTTTTCCATTAGATCAGAGCATAAAGCTACGTATAAGCACCCTGGTTCTTATTCCCTACCCTCACTGTGAAAAATCCGCAAAAGAATCTCGCAATTCTCACTATTTGATCAGGAAACATGACAACATCCACGCGAGAACCACGACATGTGGGTGGATCCGCGCGGATATATGTCGTCAGGATGGCGCAATTTGTTCTAAAAATAGCAAAATTGTCTCATATTATAGGTTCGCGCGGATCCCAAGACTTATGGTCTCTATCCCCAATTATGGCTCCTGATGTTGGTTGTAAGATCTGCTTAATGTGTCAGTTGTGAGCCTGATTTGCTATTTTCTGTTGTTGTAGCTTTATGGCAGAGATAGATCTTCTTTTAATATAGAATGATCTCTTTCGGATCAGTTTCAGTTACTGAGCAAGATGTGGCACGACTGGCGAGTGACATTTCCCTCGAAAATAATTGCTGCGATGCAATTGCAGGTGAATCTTGTAGTGTAAATTCATTTTTGAGTGTATTTTTTATTATAAATATTAATGTTATAACATATCAATTTTATAACAACTTTTTAGTGTAATTTCCAGAGGTGAATATAAGAATTGGACATTGTGATTGGTCGAAAAGCTCATCATATGGCGCTATATTCATCCCGCTAGAGCTTGGTTACTAAGCTCGCCATCTTTGCCATCTCGGCAAGTAAACATGGCAGACAGCTGCTGAATGAAGTTTTCTTTTAATCGAAAGACGTCCCTCCAAGTCCAGGATATTTGAAAGGATGGAGAATTTTCAAAATGACTGCTGTCGCCCTTGGACCAAAAATCTTTTCAAGAACTCGTATTCAAGACTTTTAAGAATCGTAAACGCAGTGGTTGCGTTGATCGCCAGCAGGTCAGATCGATTGACTGAAATATATTTTTCTTCAAACTAAAGCTACCCATTTTTAGGCGGTGATGACAACTGTGAATGAAGTCAACAACGATAAAACGAAGGTACCGGATGAATTTATTTTTCGCAGTGTTTCGCTCGTTTGTTTTACTGCCGAACTTGATTGACAATCGATGTACATGTGAGCTTATTATTGAAACTACGGCTGCATACGTGTTTGCACACGACCAATTGCGTCTGTGTTTTTATGTTTTAGTCCGTTACTTTGTAGTCCTTGATATTCACCTCTGAAAATTATACTAAAACAATTATTCGCCTCAGGCTCAGTGAACATTGGTGAATAATTGTTTAATAACATCGTAGTTATTTTAGATCGAATGGTCATTCGAAACTTACTACATGGCTCATAAAATGTTAATGAACTTGAAACAGAATGCTTTGCCTGCACACAAGTAGTTCACGTGAGCAAAGACGATATAGAGGTGTTTAATTTTAAAGTTGAGTTTGAAAAAAGTCGCGAAACGTAATTTTTGTATTATGTACGAAGTTACCTAATTAAGGTCGCTGGCAACAGTTTCGAGCACTTTTCCAACAGCTATACTTTGTACTTTGATGAATAAATGCTACCTCTATTTATCAAGTGATACTACATTATTGGTATTGCCAGCGGCTCCTGGTATTGCGCAAATGTCCAGCCATTGATGAACCAATATTGGTAATCTTTATAGCCGAACAGGTTACTATAGCAACATTATAACTTGTTAAAAACTCCCTTAGTTTTAGCTTTAGGAGCTTACAACTCAAAAATAAGCTCAATGAAATATCTGCTATTTTCAAACTATACTAGTGTGTTTGTCAGGATTTAGATAAAGAGTGGAAAATGTTGCTTCTCCTCAATTAAGAGCTTTTTTAAAGATGTTTCTATATGAAAGAGTTCCTATTCAGCCGAATCTTTCCCGTTACTAACGGTTAGTGGTATCAACAAAACTCAAATTGTAAATTTGCAACAAAAAAATTCTCAAATATTGCTGCAGACTTCTGAAAGCAGAAATTAATTCAATCAGTCTTTGAGGGAACTCGCTCACTGATGTAGGATATAATTTCGGTCAAGTAGAACTATTTATCTTCAATACTTCACGTCGAAATGCTTCTCAGCTGTATTCATCGATATCATTGTGTGTTAATTTTAAGTGGTTTTATTGTTAACACCAATAAGGTCCCGCTTTTAATGCTCGGATTGGATTTCAGTTCGTGAGGTTCTACTGAGCTAGTTCTCCTCCCTCCCGCTTTGTGGGATTCTCCTGTTAACTGATGTTGTAACTTATGTTTCTTCATTGTTATTTACGTAACACGAAGTGTTTGTCCTCAAAAGCAGGATTTTCTCGCGGTGGATTCCACGCCTGCGGTTGAAACTTATAATCTGACGTTGTTAAAAGCGCTAGAGGCTTGCAAGACTGTGGTGTTCTGTGGTGTTCTACGGTGGCCTCAGTAAAACTGTTCGCTTTGGTTTTCGAAATATAATTGCGGAGCTCCAAGGGAGCCCCATACTCATATAGGAAAGAAAAGGAAACCCATGAATGGACTTTCTCATGGTTATCATGGCTAGCGGTATTGCTCGTGGTGGCTAAGCTAAAAGGTTGACAGAAATATACAGCCTTGATTTATAGCCTCCTTCTTTGATATTGGATATCCATATTATGGTCAATTGACACCTATCAAATCAAGGTATCCGCTGACCAGTATCACGTGACCATATCGCGGGCTCAAGTTTAGAGCTCATCGAGGTCACGTGTTTTTTGAAGTTGACCGCTGACCAAGTGCTGGTGTTTCTATTGGATCGTGGGCTCATTGTTGTAAACGGGACCGGGTTGTTCGGAAGTCGGTTAATGCTAACGCAGGATTTAAGTTAACAGAAGTAATATACAGTAAACCTCACTGCAAAGTTACAAAATTCAAATCAAAATTCTCGCTTAACCTGGGTTATCTTAATCGGGCTTTGAACAATCCGGCCCAGGAGCTCTGCTTTTAGGCTTGGCTAAATCCATATATTATTTCAGGAGCACAGTCCTCTCTGCATAGAGCGGATTGCCTCTTGTTGATCTTTATTAAACTTCGGAGCAGAAATTTACAATAGCAGCTTCCAGCAACTTAACCTCACTCGTCAAGTTTTGCTTGCCGAAAAGTTTTCAACGATAATGACATCTGTGTATCAGAAATTCCCATTCTCATGGAACAGAAATTTTCAATAGCATCTTCCAGCAATTTTTACTTTGTCTCGCAAACAACGCCATCAAATTTGGCTTGGAGTGCCTCAGGATTTCGACCTTTAGCTTGGACGTTTTTGTTCCACAGGCCAGCCCGACGCAAGAAACCATTACCCATGAAAACTTCTTAAGGATAAGAACATCCTCTATATCATCAATTGCCGTTGTTCGACATCAAATAACTTTACAGTTCACAAGTATCAGCCCTAGCACTGAACTCCAGACAGTTAAAATAGATCACAAATGAACTGCTACTAATCCGAAGATGGTTTAGTACAATATAAGACCGAAAACGTTCCCATACGTGATGAAATAGATCACAGCACTGACCTCCCATAGATCACAAATGCGCTGTGACTAATAACATAAGATCGACAATGTTCTCTATGCGTATTACAAATGCCAAGATTTGGTCTTGTTTGCAGTTAACTGTTAATTTAAGATTAGAATTGTAATAGAAATGTCAAATGAACTATACNGTTTCCATTTTTAGTGCAACAGTCACAGTCACGTAATACCTTGAGCTAAAAATGTAAAACGATACATGTGCCTGCAATATTGACTGACACAGTGATTTTAGGAGCTTTATCTACTAGTCACTAGAATTAATCCAAAAACTTTACGGATACGATGAAAGGACATCATTTGCATAAGCTCGACCACAACTAAAATCCTATGGATTGCTCACGCAATCTCCGGGTTTAAAGTACATGTAGGGGCCACCGAGGTCATTTAACAGGTTATGCTGTTGCCATGGCAACATATAAGGCCATAAAGATCATCATTATTAGTTCACCAATGACTGAGTACTTATATGATACCAATATTGTAGCATTATTGATAAACAGTGGTAGCATTGATCCGTCAAAGTATAGCCATTGGAAAAGTGCTTTTGCTAGCTATATATTTTTCGATTACTTGGTCACCAACAAGAATTCGGACCTGTTTGAAAGTGGAAGTTAAACCACCATTAGTCACTGCGGTTGCTCTTTCAACACCTGTTCAAAAATCATCATGAACTTGGACGCATGGGCACACTGAAACCACGGAGCCAAGATTTTCTGGTTTTGGGTACAGTGTTTCACATCCGGTCACCGCTGACCGAAAGCACATGGACTCTTGAGGACAAGATTGTTTTAAGAAATCATATCCATAGCAAGTGGCGCTTGTAAGGAAATAAGCATTTCAAGACTATAGATAGGGCATACAAACGGGACAGAAACGTATTGTTAAATATGTCAGGTTTAGTCATCCTTAGCAAATTCTAGCACTATATAATATTACCGTTTCTTTTTCTTTTTTTTAAGCGATAGCCGAAGTGTACAATAACAGAGCAACTGCCCATTTCTGTTTAGGTAAGATCTTATTTTTTATGAATTTTTCTTGTGGTTATTTGTTCTGTATTCAGCCTGCAAACTGTTTAAAATATAAATATGACGCTATTTTCTTCACAGCTCCAAACATCAAATATAATTTTTAAAATACATACATACATACATACATAACATCCCTAGAGCGGTTCTTGCTTTCTTAAAAGCATCTGGACGCCGTTTTGCTTGTCTCATCAGACATGAAAAAACGATATTTCATCAGCTGACCCATGCACCATCAGCTGCAACGTTGAGTTGCAGCTCTGACTTTATGTGACTGTAGTGTCGTATTGCGTTACAGTCATGCGCACTAAGAGTAGTATTCCAGATGTGAGGAATTACTGTGTTTTGCATAAGAATTTAAGACTGAAAAGTAAGTCTTTGCAATCAAAGATTCCATAGTCACGTTGTCCATTTTTCTTCGAATGTACAGCTCTTTCCACGAAGGCAACAGAGGAACTTCTAGAGACTGCTGTGACAAATTATTCATATCTAAAAGTAAGGCAAATTTTTCAGTTAATTGAGAGCTTCGCGTGCTGAGTACTGAGGTTAGAAATACTCGACGAATTGTGAAATGAGCAAGAGCTCCACGTGATTTTCCAAAGGAAGGAAAGGAAATGATTAGCAAGACGCCCCATTACGGTCAAAGGATTGTTTTTAACGAAAAAAAAAGAATTAAAGGAAAGTACCGTCGCTTGCATCTAAGTGTGAACACTTGACGCTGAAACATGCTCTAATTGGGTGTCAAACGTGGCATGATTGGTCATCAAACATTTGAAGTTTAGCAGACCGTAACGCGAACGTTTGTGACCATATTTAAAATGAATAGTCGATGTCCTTCGGGGATATATACTGAAAGACTCTGAAAGTCTTGCTCCTGCCAATATTTCATGGTTTACTGGAAGTAAAACCACTTTCGCGTAAGGCGTATGCATAATTATTGACACAGGTGAGGGTCAATGTCTCTGAAGAAGTCTTCAATTAATGTCTAATCTTTCTACTGAACTTTTTAGCGCGAAAGTAGCGCCACGGTCTGCTAAACTTCAAATGTTTGATGACCAATCATGCCACGTTTGACACCCAATCAGAACATGCTTCAGCGTCACGTGTTCACACTTAGATGCAAGCTACAGTAAAAATAACTCTTGTGTCCTTTTAGACTCGAGCCCGCAACCTCTTGACTGGAAAGCAAAACAATACAAACAATGCAATGCAATACAATACAATTTTTATCATTGAACAACAGCATACAAGCAATTGCACTTTCATTGCGCCCGGAATCAACTGTCAGATTCAGGCCAAAAAAGGAACATTATTTTATAAAACAAGTTGTAGTGAACTGCTGGGTGGGTTTCTTACTACCACAGCAGGCTCAAGTAAGTTACCGACGTCGATGTTGAAATAAAGCTAAGTTTAGTAAACCGTACTTTATCATTGTTGTTTTTCACCCTGAGTTGAAATATTGGTAGTATAATCATCGTCGGATTAGTGGCATTGCATTTATGATCTATTTCAACTACTTGGTGTTCATTGTGATGTACTGATACTTGCAAGCTGTAAAGTTATTTGATGTCGAATTAAGGTCATTGCTGATATAGAGAACTTTTTATCATCTCATCCTTGAAAAGTTTTCGTAGGTAATCGTTTGCTGCTTCGGAACTTGAGATCAGAAAAGCCCAAACTTAACATCAGAATCTTTAGGCACTCCAACATAAATTTGACAACATTTTACATGAGAAAAAGGTGAAATTGCTGAAAGATGATATTGTATAGTTCTTTGGCGAAGTTTAAGGTCAACAAAACGCAATCCGTTTGTGTCTCAATCTTAATCATTTGGAGGTGGCTAATAATTTTGAGCGTGTTCTTTTGTTTTCATTTTGGGTTAATGTCCAAACACAAAGATAACTCTGGTACCTCTAGTGACCAGTAAATAAAACATATGAAATCAATGCACGAACCTAGATCTTGCAAGTAAAAAACTGACAAAGCATTTTCTTAGTTTCAATGGGACTTAAGATTGAGTGAATTTCAGCCGATTTCTACCCGGGGTGTCCAATCGATGACATCGGTGATCAATGACAATCGATACCAATCAACACCTATCCATATCAATTAATTGATTGATATTGGTAATCGATGACCAATCGATGAAGAGGATTTGTGTGACCATTTATCAATTGGTTATCGATAATCAATGGCAATCGATGGCCTAATTGGTACTGTTTGCCAACTTCGTCACGCTTTACAATCTACAAACTTTCAGGAAAATGCCCGTAATATACTAGATCATTAACAGATTTTTACAATAATAATATATTCATTCATTCATTCATTCAATGAAAAGCTTCTTATTTGCACAGTTAAAGTTCAACACACTAAGTTACTAAGTTTAAAAATGTAAGAATAAAAACTTGTTGGTAAAAAATAGTTCTAATTGACTAAGCACGTACATACAGGATTAAAAATGATTACATCCAACCAAATAAATATAAAACTAGGATCAACAATGATTGCAAAAATGAATTGTTTTAACGTGCACCTAACCCCAATTTTTTTTTTCGCTAAAGCGAATCTACTTGTTATTTGATATACTTCTGCGAAAAACTTTTTCGATTCGGTTAAATCCTTGATTTTCTGTACACCGACGAAATCTCGAAAATAGCAGCAAAAAAACCACCATTTTGTTTCGCGACCGAGTTTAAGGAGAATGGGTCCAGCGACTGTTGTGACGTCTACCCAGGAAGGTTGAATATCTCACGTCCTCTCATTTCCTTCAGGATGGTGCAACACACATTCGAGAAGCGCGCAGAAATGCCTTTCAGAAGTGCTATCGGCTGTTGCAGCAATATCCCAGATTTAAAGAAAGATATACCGTACAATTTATTGGCCATGATCAGTCAATGGTAAAATAAAGACGTAAGTAAGGGTTGATTTTGTTGAACCGAAACAAGCAAACTGAGTCCGTGAGAACCATTGAAGAACTCTCACTGGAATTTGTTCCGCAGACTTTCAAACGCTATTTGAAAATTTTCTGCTTAAAGCCAACCAGCAATTTGTAGCTAGAAATACTACCGAAAACCTATATCTTCCAATCTCGCAGTATTTATAACATAGCCCGCAAAGTCGTGTGATCAATCAAGAAGCGTTTATAATACGACCAATAAACTGTTGCGTAAATAGGTCACAACTGTAGGCCGCCAACCAACACTTATTTCTCTTTCGATTTAGATAAAGTCAAAGATTAATTCTTAAGAATTACACGATAACAAAACTGTTAGACTCATAGTCTTTCGAAGGTTTGGAAATCAGCAGTGCGATAAACATTCTGTGCAATAGTGTTGAAAATATGACCGCGTAACATTATCTGCGGACCGCTTAGGGAACACATCCTTTTCGCTTATCTGACGAATTTCACTGCAAACTTTGAAAAAAATT